CTGTAGTTTGTTTTGAGACTGTTGCCTGATTTGTTTTAACTTAATTACACAGCAGTGGACTATGTTTCTCTTAACCATTATTTGTTTTATTAAAAGGCCATAGTTACCAAGTATTTTTACCATAAATAAAGTTATACAAATTCACTGTGGTTTTTACAGGAATATTATAGTTTATTCCCCGGGTTTACAATAAAGTACAAATTACAGAAAACTTTTGACAATATTTTTCCACAGGCTCTAATGTATAAACTTAAAATGTTCTGAAAAGCAAATGCAAAAAAAATATATATTTTTTGTTTTTAATTAGTGTCAGATAACTTAAGTGATTCAGATTTCATTGTTGAACTTTTTGCTGATGATGAAATTATATTTTTGGCCTTCAAAATCTTTCTCCATGCAGCACAGGGTGATTATAATTGCTAAATGCATGTTGGCATTACGATTATGAATTAATTTGTTCAGGCTTTGGGTGTTAATAACTGCGCTAATGCTGTATTCAAATATTCAGATTTATTCGCAGAAAGATCCTGTTTGTTGTCTGTTGATCAGGTTGGCCTTAAGCTGCAGAAGCTGTTCCACCGTTGTTAATCAGCAGCATGAAAACAGACAGATGATGCAGCATCTGCAACCGTCCAAATATGTACACACATTCAAACTGTTTGATTTCATTTCATACTGACATAATAACTGTTTGACACACACAGCTGTCAGTTAGAGCTTTATGAGATAGTTTCCATTAACAGGGCACAACATTTCTTTATGTCACTGCTGCTGTTGCATAAAGTGGTTTGATATTTATTTTTTTCAGTCCGGTCTATTTCTGGACCTGTGTCCCAGGAGTCACAGTGTTTGTATTCACACTGAACTCATTAGTAAGTCAGTTTCAGAAAGGCAGAAAATGGGTTATTCCCAGTAGGTGGCTAGATATTTCCAGCACTGCTTAGGAAATGAATAATCTAAAAATCAACAGGCGTATTTCAAATGTGTGAAGGTTATTTGTATAAAAGCTGATTATTACACAAAACACAAAGGATGTTATGTTACAAGATATAACATACCATATTGTTTTAGAAGAGCAGAGATTTTGTAGCAGAAAATCAGAAAGAACAAGAATATGTCTGATCAGAAATTTATTAAAGCACAGTGACATATTTAAAAGTGATTTATTGCAACTTTTATTAAGATTTTATATCTCTGGACATTTTTAGTCATAAAAGCACAGTAGGCTATATTAACAGGACTCATTATTCAAGATGACTGTGTCCTGAGGAGAGCCTTTTAGTAGAGTGGATGCTCATTTTCCCAAATTACATGAATGTTAATCCATTAATACTGTAACAAATTCACTGGGATTTTAGTGATTTTTATATTTGCTGTCATGAAGGTTCTTTTATATTTTGTCTGTAAAATATATTAATAAGTCCATCTTGACCATTTTCTGCAAATATCCACTTCTTCATCACTTCAGATAAACGTTTAAAACCAAAGATGTTAAGTAACATGACTGCCAGCTGGACGGATGCCCCCCAAAAAATAGATTTTTCTTTGTTTTGGAAAAGAGTTTAGGAAAATACTATAAAAAAAAAAAAAAAAAAAAAAAAAACAGATGGTGTGTTTGGGCTTTAAGCCAGATTTGAAATACAGTATGTTGTGATGAGATGTGTAGTTTAACAAATTAATTTACAGAAGGAACTGGTTCGTGGTCTGACTACTCTGGAGAACTGAATATTTGTATAGTTTCATGGACCAGCTTTTGGGATTAATTTGTTATGTACTATACTTATTTTTTGTATGTATTTTTAATATATATATTAAGATTTTGTATTCTAATTTATTTTTGTAATCATATCTAAACAATTTCCCAAATTGAATGTATTTTTTTGTTTTCATGTGAAGAGTTTTGGAAACAAGTGGAATTGAAATTCTTAAAGAACACTATCTGGTATGTGTTTGAAGGAAAAAAGTTGACAGGAAGAAAATAAGCTTTGATTTAAAAACAAATAATACTTATCTGATATCAAGAATTTTAGTTAAGTTTTCTGAGTGTTTGTTGTGATGTTTTCTCAGTTCACAGGTCGTTCGTCCTTGAGCAGCTTGGCTTTTTCCTGCTCATTTTGCAACTGAGAAGCTATATTTACTATCACTTCCACCTTTCTTCCCTGCCCCTAGCCAGCACTGGTCAGTTCAAGGAGGGGCATTTGTTGCTTAGCAACTTGAGGTTCAAGCTGAGTTGGATAGAGGGCATTTTATTCTTGTGTGAATGTGAAAGGCTCATATCTTAAAGAATGAGTTGGTCAGAGGTAGATTTGTTATATATAAAGTGTGTTTAATGCTTGAAGCAGAAAACTTTTTATTTTCAATTGTAGTTTTATTTGAAAATAATAAGATGAAAATAACAACCACATATGAGCTGTAACTTCACTCTGAGAACACATCAGCCTCATAGAACAACATATGACTATTAAAAAATAAAGAAAAAGAAAAGAAATAGATCCGTACCAATGAGTTCAAATGAGTTCTTTTGAATATTTGCCATGGATACCTCCTTCTCTTCTTATATTTCCATCCTAATAATTTTTATAGCCATTCATCTGATGATCCCATCACATCCCGAACAAAGATTTGTGTTGCTCTTTGCCCTGCCAAGATGCATTATCATTGTCCTGAAAACAAGCCATTTTCCATTAATAAAACGAGGAAAGGCTTCAGAATTTAAATGGCCACCTGCAGGTGTAATGATTGTAATCTTCCCCGGTTCTTCAGCTGACAGGTAAACCCATATCCTTATTAACTGCAAAAAAATTTCTCATCTCCTAAACTCAGTCATCTTTATTATGTCTTATTGCTATTTCACCAAACAAAGTTTCTGGTGTATTTTTTTGTCCTGGTTATTCTTTACTGAAATATAAATTTCCTGCTTTTATGTATAAAAACCCATTTTCTGAAGCCAGTTTATTATCGTTTTCTGAGAAACATTATTTTTGCACCATTATGTTTATTGGTGGACGTTTTTACTCATTTATAGGAACATTGTCAGGATTATTTATCAGGATCCGAGGTAGAGATTAAATGAAAACCTGTTCCTTGAGGTTATTGCAGCAGTATAACATCACACTTAAAGAAATAGAAAACTCCAACCCTTGATGCAAGAGCATTTATTCCGTGAACTGGAAAATTTGCAATAAGTAAAATAAGTAATTTGTTTTAACAAAATTAGTTGATACATTTTTTAGTTTTTTGTTTTTAACTCTTGTCAGTAATACGCAAATTTTCATAAGGTGGTGCATACTCCCAGTGTTGTACTGTAGGATTCATGTTTCAAGATTTTGTGAGCAAATTTCAGTTTATTTCACTATATGATTTGGTTTCAGGGCAACTGTCGATTTTCAGTTTACTGGTGTAGTTTCTGATGGGACTTCCTAGGCTCCAGTCTGTTTTGGAGATTTGATGCAATGTTTTCGTTGTTGACATGATCTGAAATTTTTGCATGCTAGTGATTTTTGGGGCTGTTGGACTTTCACTTCCCTAGGGAAACATTGTGAGTGCTTTTTTTTTTGATGGCCCGAATCTTAAAGCTCAAATAAAAGGTGGGACATTGCGACGAAGGAAAGACAAACTGAAAGAAAAGGCTTGAATGAAAGTGGGGTAAAAGTATGGATGCTTTCAGTTGCAGCACTAAGCAGCAGTGTTGCGTTGCATTTTTGTGAAATTGTGAAGTTCTGACCCTTACCCTGTTTTTTGTCATATTTTTACTTCAGAAAACTTGAGGGTTATTTTTACATTTAAATATGTAGATATTGACTTTGTAAAAAGCAATTAGAATAAATTTTATGGTTTCTATTCTGATATTTTATCTTTAGGAAATAAAATCTCACCAATATCATATTAAGTCATTTTTGTTCATCAATCCACAATATTTTCAGTTGCCCATTTTAAATAGTATTTTTGAACAGCGAGTGCATTTTTTGTGAGCTCACCTCCCAATTTGAAAGCTTACATTGTTACTGTCCAGCCACAGTGACATGGTGGTTTCAAACTAACCAACGTTTTCTATATTTACTTGTGAGTCTCGAGACAGCTGCAGCTGCGTCCTAATGCTGCTGACAGATGCTTTTTTTAAAGGAATGGAAAAGAGAAACTTTGTGCCCAAAGAAATGTTTGGGGCCAGATTTAATATTTTAAATGTGTAAATATTTTGAAATTACTCAAAAAGGAAGGCCTTTATTTCTTAGCCTTTTTTTTATTTGATAATTTTGTTTCTACTTATTTGAAAAAAGAAAAAAAAACTATTATATCTTCTGCGTTGGTTGTTGTTTCTTGACTTTTGCCTCATTAATGCGAAAGTCTCCCTGTCTGAACTCTTAGCCAAACTCTGCTTTATTTTCCCAAAACATGGTGAAACATACAAGTATGAACTCTTAGAGGTCTTAAAGTGATGATCTCAGCAGATTATTCTGCACCTTTCTTTGACTTTTCTTTTTAATTGGCTTTTGACTCCAATCGCAGTCTAAGCTATTTCTGATGAGTCAGTTCAGTGACACCACACAATTATCCAAGAGTTTAATCGTTTCCTGTGTCTCTTTGATTTTTTTAAATTAAAAATGCTTGAGTCACTTTTTAGTTTAAGTTTTCAAGTGACCTGATTGTATCTTTTATTTTCTATCATAAAAAATAAGTGTTGTAGTTGGTGTTAAAAGTTTACTGAAACAATTTTTTCATTTCGAAGACACATTGCCATGGAGACCGTACTATTTTTAGAGTATAACTCCTGATCCAAAGCAGAATATCCTACAGATCACTTTCTCAGCTTTAATGGTGAGACTAAGCAGTAACTTCTGCTGAGTAGCTCTGCAAACAGTCAGTGGAAAGCATAGGTGGAGGATGTTCATTTTCAAACAGATGAGTCAACTATTATGTGCAAACTGTGTCTGTGTTGCAGCAGTCTCCGACCGCAGCTGTTAATGAGAGAACTTCTGATGTTTCCTTTTTTTCCCCCTCAGAAACTCTGGAGCCGTCATCGCTGACTGCAGCCCAGATCCGATATGGTGAGGAATGAAGTCTACCACACACACATGCACACGCCCATACACACTTGCACACAGAGCCTGCTTGGTCTGTGCACCTTACAAGAATAAAACACCCCAAAAAACAAAACACATATTCTCATTTAGTCATTAGTGTTTCCATGTTGTTCACAGTTCAGCTTGCATGATTTCTTTCAATCTCAGTAGTTTGTATGTAATAAAAATGTACTGTGTTTATAAAGCAAATGAAAGCAGTTTTTCATCTTTGAATAAGAACCTTAGTTCAAAAATGTCCTCAAAATCAGACAAACTGCCGTGAGACAATTGAAGGACACGAATGTTCCAAAATGTTAATTGCCTGCTTCAGTCGAGTTGAAGGCTGGAATATGAATGTTTAAAGTCCATTTTTACATTCATCAAGGTTTTCAAGGTGTTCCAAAACTTCACAAAAATGTGAAAGTACAGATAACCACGTATAAGTGAGTGGACTAATATCTCATCATGTTCAACATTAGATTAATTCCCTGCTCAGGCAAGAAATTACTACAAATTTTTACAATTAAATGTGCATTCAAAGAAGTTGGAGTAACTGATTTTCATGGTCTAAAAGCAAGAAGGCATGAATACTGCTTTTTTGAGACACTACAAATGTCAAGAAGTCAGAGTCAGAAGGTGAGCTTGCATTTTAGACCCTCAAGTTTATTTGCTGCAGTGCCAGTCTGATGCTGGTGAGGAACAACTTCACCATCATCTGGCACTTAAACACACACACAGAAGGAGTGAAAGGCATTCTTCTCCATGTACTTCTTTGAAAAGTCTGCAAACTACCTTAATTGGTAATACAAATGTATGGCCCTGGGCAAGACAGGTTATATCAACATGTGTTCAAACCAATCCTTGTAAGCTTGGTTTTTCACATCATTTGGTATAAAACATGTTTTCAATATGGTATAAAACATGTTTTATGAATACACCTCTGTGTGTTGTATCAAAGAAACTTTGTGTAAACTGAACTGACATGTATTCATTTATACTATACTTGGTTCAAAAAGAAATGCATGCATTTACTAAAACAGAAAGGAGAATTGTATCAAGATAAGAAACATAAAGAAGCAGTATTGTGGACGCAATATTAATCTTGCCAGAATTACAACCATTACCTAAGTAAAATTGATGCCAGATAAATGCATTCTTGTCACAGCAGCAAAACATGTTGGATTTTGATCAAGCAGAAATTTCTAGAAACTGGTTGAGACTTCAAGATGGCTCATTTCTTCCTGTTTTTCTTCCTCTTGTTGGTTTTTAGTTTTATTCCACAACGCTGTCCCCTTTATCGGGTTTGGTTTCCTGGATAACGCCATCATGATTGCGGCAGTAAGTAAAGTTTTAAGAATTATTTTTCCACTATTAGTAGTTTGTAAGGGGAAAAAAACGTTGTTTGTGTTATGTTTTAGCGGGAACAGTAACTCAGGAGGAATATTCATCCTCGTTCTGTTGTGTTCTTTAGGGAACGCAGATTGAACTCTCCATCGGAGTCACTCTGGGGATCTCCACCATGGCTGGTAAGAACAGATCAAACAGCCTGCAGTAAAGTCCCATTATCATTTAAATTGACTTCTTATCTTACTGGTTGGCTCCTGGTGTCTTTAAGTAGTTGATATTAGAGACCATTGGCAGTAGATAATTATAAGTCATTTATTTAGCAAAATTTAAAACAGTCTCCCATCTTTTTATGCACGAGATGTATATATATTTTTTTTCATTAATGCCCTCCTCTTTAAAGCCAGGTGTTAGGAAAAGGCATTTGGGAGGTTGATGTTGAAACAAACCTAGATTCCCTATATGTTCTTGTCTAGGACGGGCAATATACATATATAAGTCGATTGGCTCACTGGGTCACCGGTGTCATGACAGTTAAAGGGTTAGCTTTATTTCTTTCCATTTCATACACTTCACAAGTAAAATAAGATTAGTTTTTAACTGAAAGTGAAATACAAATTTATTTATTGCACATCTCTAACACAAATTATTTTATGTAGACCAGATCCATATGCAGTGTGATCGATGTTCACAGAGCTTTACTCCAATAGAATATAACACTTGGATTAATATAAAACTAATTTAAATTCACAAAATGGTGAGACTTGCTGGAAATGAACTGATGAAGCAGTTTTTGGTACAAAGAACCCAACTCTCACATTTAGAACCTGCAGTTCTCTCCAAACTTATTGGCATTGTATTTCTCAGTGCCAGTATTTCTTAATTCTGAGCTACTAAAAAGAATACATGCATTCTTTTTTTTTTTTTTTTTTATAGAAAATAATATTTAATAAGTTTGTCAACGAGGTGCTCATTCCAGATAGGGGAGGAAGCAAGCATCAATCTATAGACTTTACAAAATAAGAACCTTACTTATTTTGCATTCAACCTGTTTAACCTGCTGACGGAGGCACTACAGATGCATCAAAACAAAAACAAACTCAAAAACAGTTTCTTCTCAAAAGCAATTAACACCCTGACCTCTCACATGCATTCATTAATGGTGGTTGTATGTGTATGTGAGTATATGTAAATGTAACTGACTTAATATGGTAAATATCAGCAAATTTATGTTTATATTGTATATATTTCCCACATTGTTTGCACTATTTTGGAGCTGGCTTTAATCTTACTGTAATGTGTGCATGTACAGTACTTGTAAATTCTAATTCTAAAAAACTAGAAAATGCAAAAATAACTTGACAAACTTGGATTTATATAAAACTAATTTAAATTCACAAAAAGGTGAGACTTGCTGGAAATGACTTTGTCTTCTCCTTTTGAACCGGACTGTTAAAAAGTTGCATTTTAGTATACTGTTATTGATCCTGCAGGATTTTAATTTTCCTCAGAACTAGTTGAATCTCTTCCTCACACAATCTAAGCAGCAGCCTTGCTAAATATTGAGTGTCCTGGATGAGGTGAACGTAATATCAGATATAAAAGAAAAAAAATTGTCAGAACTTAAAAACCCTGCAGTCACTGCTTTAATCTAAGCTGGGGTTTTTGAAGTAAATTTCATGGCCAGAACCAGAGCCTCCATTTTCCTTCCCAGCTGGCACAGAAAATCTTTGTTGCCAATACAGCTCAGGTGATGCCACCAATAATCTAAATTTGCCCTGAAATGTTTTTATTTCCCCTGATCTTGTTGCACTTTATTGCCACCCAGCTGACTGTCGTCATGGTGCCATTTCTGGGTCTCAGTTTGGGTCTTTATTATGCTGTGAAAACCATAAAGGCACTGGAGCTAGCCTTCTCCCTCTCCCCACTGCTAGATTACCCCGTTTCCATGGTTACTTGGCTCCTAATACCTCTGCAAAGTGCAAATCAGAGCCTGAAGACGGGCTTCAGATCAAATGCTCGTCTACGTTGCTTCCTTCCATGCAGAACCTGCTTTTATATTTGTTTTGTCCCAGCCGGTCGAGCGGTCGGCTTTCTTATTTAATCTGGAAAGAGATGGTTTCAGGTTTATGTCAGCGATTCCTGATTCTCCACCCGTTTCTCCACTGTCGCTGTAACGCCGGTGAAACGAGGTGAGACAGGATTGCCGTCTCACCTCATCACCATCAGGAAGTTTTTTCTTTGAAGGGAATTCACATTGAAGTCATCCATCTGGACATTTAAATCCTGTAGGGATGCCACAGGATGCCTTTAACTTGGAGTCATTGTGGACTTAATGCCTCCAGAAATTTATTGAAGGCAAACCAAGTATACTTCTCACCCTTACAGTTTCATAAGCAAATGTAAACTCAGCCATCCATTGTGAAAATGCAACCTGGTGTTAATTATTCATAGCTGTTGTATTTTGTTGAGGAGAAATGTTTGAAAGCTGACAGTTAAACATCAGAAACACAGGAAGAAGTAAAGTGCTACTTGATCTATAAAACTCACCCTTTCTCTCCCCAAAGCACTTTAAGCTTCCATTTTACTTCTGTGATTTAGATTGTTATTTTATTCATAGGGATATCCCAAGCTGTTTATGGCCAATATAGCACAAAAACATTCAGGATATATTCACTTTATCCTGTAAAGCGGTTCTCTGAACATGGATAAAGACGTGGGATTAGGCTAATTTCCCCAGTAAGATTTTAATCACCTATCCGCCGTGTCTGTGTGGCTGTTGATCCAGGTGAGGGCTTCAGGTGCAGCACGGGAGGTGAGACTTATTTCCTCCAGCTTATCTCAGGAGCTGCTTTGGAGTTTTCAGGCTTAGAGTGGCTGCAATCTGTTAGCCTGCTGTAAGATAATGGGAAAAATAATGTGTGTCAACTAAGCAGAGTTTCTCTTAATTTAACAACTGACAGATCCAAAATGATCTTGAACACAATCTATGGACCTGAAAGATAATTTCCTTCAGAGACTTTAGTTTTCACACTGTTTTGACAGATTTCTGTCTTTATTAAACTGCTGCTTCTTGCATCAGAAAAATCAGGAGTTACTAGTGACATTTGATGTTGATTCCCTTCTGTACTAAATCTGAAATAATCCTCACTTGTAATGTTTTTTGGATAAAATGGTCTAAACATTGTCATTAATTATTCACTAGGTTGGTGCAGAATCCCCCCATGACGTTTAATGTTTTTTTTTTTTCCTGAGTTGTTTCTTTATCTCCCTTAGAAATCAGCAGCAATCAAAGCGTTTTTCTTTCTTTTTGCAGCCGCTGCTCTGGGGAATCTGGTTTCAGATCTGGCAGGTCTTGGGTAAGCAGCATTGCAACATCCTCCAAAGACTGTTGTTAATTTAGAAATAGACGTCACATTTTATGAAGTTCAGAGAAGGTTGGAGCAGTGCAAGTTTATAGCTGCTCTAAATTATTGAACTGTGTTATATTTTTCCTTTTGTGGCATACTAATTGCTTTTTTTAAATTAAAAAGTTGAGTAGATCTTCTAAACTAAACAATTGCTCATTAGAATTGAGTTTGTCTTGTTCTTACATTCCTAAAAGCAATTATTTCGTTCAAATTACAATGTTATGCACAAAATTTGTTTCGCCTTTAGGTTTATTATTTAGAGGCTCTGCTGTCTTAATCTCTAGACAGGAGCCCTAAACTGAAAAGTAATATGTTAATTTCCTCCTTTGGTATTTTGTATAACTTTTAAATAATTCCACATTTGTTTTATTTATTTATTTTTTTCTTGGCTGCCAGAAATGTGATTTTTGTTGGAAATGACTATTGCCTGTTAAATTGACATCAATCAATCAATCAATCAATCAATCAATCAATCAATCAACCAATCAACCAATCAATCAATCAATCAATCAATCAATCAATTTTTGCACCTTTCAGCAACAAGGTATTTCAAAGTGCTTTACCTCATATAGACATATGTAACATGTATGTTTGCAGTCTGGCAGGTTATGTGGAGGCTCTGGCTTCCAGACTGGGGATGCAGGTTCCTGATCTGACACCGAAGCAGGCGGATATGTGGCAGACCAGGCTCAGCTCTCACATGGTGAGATGACTCAAAATCTTCACATTTTTATTGCTTTGCCGTCTCTCAAAATCTCCAAGTCAAACCAGATGTACACTTTTGTGTAAACCTCTCAGTATCTGGAAAGGTTGATATTCTTAAAAAGAATCAAATGTAAATGAGATAAGTTTATGTCCAATATTTTTTATTGGCTTTTCAGGGCTAGATTATGATGGTAGTAATTTCCATACTCAAGTTGAATTAATTTTGAAAAATCTTGATAGCAACTTGATTAAAAACTTATTTGGCTCTGCCCTAAACAGTTTGAGTATTTTATATCTGCAAGCTGTGCTGTTTGATCTATTAAATATAGATCAACGCTCAATAAATTAGAACAAACAGTCAGATTAAAACATTTTTTTCCTTTTTAAAATACTCTGAAAGCAGTTATTAAACATACTGTATGTTAGCTTTAATTGAAAAATTATTTGAATCAACAGAAATAAAGGTTTTCATACATGTGTGGAATTAATCTACATAATGTTTCACTTAGTGACAAAAGTCCGTAAATAAATGGGCTTTTCAATAATATTCAAATTAATTGAATGGGTCTATTGAAGCAGTGAGTGGAAGCAACTTAAAATCTCATTTTTTAAAACAAAATCCAATGAGAATTTTTACTACTAAGAGTTTAACTCTATTTTACTTATGCAGCTGCTAAAATATTATTACAATGTGATCATCTGTCCCTTTAATCCTGGGTCTCTTGGCTCTTCTACTTTCAGTTATAAATTCATTAAGAATGTTTCTATCAGTGAAAGGTTTTTTTATCAAAATAATTCAGCTTAATAATTTAGTCCCCACTTAAACTGTTTGGCTTTTTCTGTCTGATGCTGCAAGACCGCTCACTCACAAAAAAACACAAAAAAAATGCAATTAAATCGCCTGTCAGTGTAAGACATCCTTAGATAACATATTGGTCAATTAGCCAAAATGAGATGCTGAAAGAAAGGAAATTGGAAACTTTTACCTAAAACGCTGGCTGGATTTTTGTGGTAACAAATAAAAAAATAAAAAGCCACATAACATACTATTGAGTGCACCTAAATAAGAACAGCAACCTCCAACTGATGCACCACCACTCCCCTGCTATGAATAATACATTTCACTTGAGTCACCCTGCTGTATAACTATATTACAATAGTAGTATTCTAATTGTGAAACATGTTTAAAATATCAACTGTCACCCAGCATTAAGAAAGACTTTGGTTTCGTCATTATTTCTAACATGAACTCCTTCTCTGCTCCCTGCAGGGGAAAGCCATTGGCATCACCATTGGCTGTATTTTGGGAATGTTCCCGCTGCTCTTCCTGAGCGATGAGGAGAAGGAGGAAGAGAGCGGGGCAGAAGCACAGCCCCGCAGTGACGCAGCATCACACTCCTAACTATCCACCACATCTCTAACTGGATTCTGCTTCATGTCCACATTACAAAGGAGTAATCAACAATAGATTCCCTGCCAGGCGACTCAGGTGGCTTTCACAATCTGGCTCCTCTTGAATACAAACACAGCAGTATTACAGAATAATTATTTTTGATTCCTGGTATTTATTGACTTAGGCTGAATCACATTCATTTATGTTCAGAAAAGATCAGTCTGCATCATGAGATCCTGTTCCTTATTGATTTTTCTATCAGCTCCTTCAAGATGGATTGTTGGAATTTAAAGAAACACTAAAGCAATTTTTATTTCCTTCATTCCCTAGAGTCTGTTATCTTAAAACATTTCATTTTAAAGCAACATGTTTATTATGAAACTGATTCAAATCTAGTTGTTTGATCAGTGTAACTTCTTTATTAAAATAATTTATTAGTATCACCATGAATTATGTGACGATCCTAAAAATTCCTGCATTCATTTGATTGTTTTCATTTTAAAATGAATCAGGTAAAAGATAATGATGCCATGATGACTGTTAGGAGACTAGATTGCAGTTTTTCTTTCATTAGATCCGTTACAGAACTTGATTCAGCTGATTTCTTTAAAGGAGAACCCTAACATCCTTTTCAATTTCTTTAAAAAGAAAAGAAAAGATGGAACTACATGGATTTTCTAGTTTAGTTTTTGATATTTAGTTGCTGAACAACTCTAGAGGTTGTCTAGTGTGGTTAGCTTTTTTCAGGATGTTACATGAACTTTACATTCTTGAAAAAAGCAACCAGAAAAGTCAATGAATGAGAAGCTTGTTAACACTAATCCATCTGGTGCCTTCACTTTGATTATACTAAGGTTATATTTGGTACTCATTGATATTTTGATTTTGCCACATGGGTATAAGGAAATAATAGATATAGTAGGGTTACAATGTTTGTTGTACACAATGGTTTGCCTTTTTGTTATTCCACTTTCTACTGAGTGACTCTAAGAACAAGCTGATCTTACCTGATTCATAATTCAAGCAAACCAGTCTGCAGTCAGCTGCTCACCAGTTATGCTACTTAAAGTTTTCTAACTATGGTCTTACTACATCAGATGTTGCACTGATTTAGTTTTAAGTTGAGACCTTTGTTGTCTTTGTCATGACTGGACATTTTTTTCAAGCACATTTCAGGGTTTCTTCAGTCAGGTAACAAGCAGTAAGAAGCAACAAGTGGAGGAGGGGCAGTGTTTTATACTTTACTTTTGCTTAATGCAAGGGGGAAAAACTGGTCATTCTTTCTATCTGTTTGGCATCTCTTCATCGTGACTTTAGGATTTAGGGACAGATTTGAAAATGTAACTTTTTTTTAAAACAATTCGTAAATCGTCAAAACAATGACCAGCACATATCTGCTGAATTTATGCAGCCCCAACAATGAGAGCACATGTGATTCATTTCTCTTTTCCGGTTCCCAGTATGACTTTGCTGTTATGCGGTGAGGTGATCTGATACTTATAAGAAATAAAAGAATGCAAGAATATTCTTTTGATTTTCTTAATTAAGAATTTGTCATTAAGTTTAACTTTTTAAAAAACATTATTATTAATCAAGTGTTTGTCCCTCAAAAAGCACAAAAGCCTCCTGTGAAAGCCGCCTGAGTAGAAGCACTCACCTGGAACTGAGTCTTCCTCTTTCCAATTATTCCCCACAAAGGGAGGATCAACAGCTAGATGTCCCATGGACTGAAACCAGTCAGTTCTCATTGTCAGAAGGCACCGACTGAAAGCAGAAGATGAACCCATTTTCATATTTATAATTGTATTTGCCAGCTCAACGATTATGTCCCTTTTTCCACTCCAAATAACTTAACAAAAGCACATTTATGAAATTTATTTTTATCATAAATGGACACTTTATACTTTTGAAAAACTTCATCTCAAACACTATTTATTTGTAAAGATGGTAATCGTTACTTCAGTGGCAAACTCTAATAGTCACTGCAGATGAATATGAAAAGTCTTGTGCAAGTTGAACCTTTGATAAAATAAAGATGAAACAGATATAATGTCTGCTACCTCGAGAAGTAATGTTGTCGTGTCTGCATGAAGAGCTGATGTAGCTGCATATTCTAATTAATATCAGGTATGTTTTCCTTTTGAGTTTGATAAGAAAGGATCCTTGAAGGTTTTCTATGGCTTGATATCAGGAAACATTCAGTGGTAGGACACACTATTTAGAAACTGAAGGTTTTTTTTTTTTTTCAGTGTTTAAGGTTGTTCTGTATCAGCTTGTTTTCTTTTGTGTTCGGCTTCTTTCTTTCCTACATGCGCTCAACTTGAGTCCCACCATCTGTGTATTTTAGTTCTGTGGAAGTGATCACAGTGGAAGCTCCAGATGGTGGAGATTTTAATTTCCAAAAACATTTATGCAAAAGAAAAAAAAAGAAAGCTGTGCAGACATTTCTGCATCCCTCCTTTTGTTTCTGTTTTCTTGATGTCTTGTACAACAATACATCAGCAGAACTTGAAGGTGCTAATAGTCAAAACTGCAAAAATGTTTTTCATTCTTTGTTTTTATGTTCAGGCATTTTATATGTTTAATATGTTCATAATTGTGCCTGGATTCCAAACTATAAATGCAGGTGCATTTCAGTGAATTAGAATATCATTGTAGAGTCAATTTATTTCAGTAATTCCATAGCTTCTTGTTTGTTGTTTTCTATGATTTTATCTTATGGTTAATAAAACCCCAAAGTTAATTAGGTTTTAGCATCACATAAGGGCTATATGATCAAGGAGAAATAAGGATTTTTAATGCAGTAATCTCAGCTTGTTGAAAAGCATACCTTTATTATTAATTGTATATCCTCTCAATACTTGGTCAAAGACCGTTTTGCATGAATTACTGCAATAATATAAATTGTTGCATTAAAGGAAATCATTGAGGCACTACTGAGGTCTTAAGGAAGCCAAGGTTCCTTTAATGGCAGCTTTTTTTCTGTAATTTTATTGATAGATTTTGTCTTTTCTTCCATCAAATTTCACATTGAGATATTTTGAATAGCCAGGTTCTTTAGCAATGACCACTGACGACTTATTCTACTGTGAAAAATCTTAGACTCAGTTGGACAGGTGTAATCTATCATCTGAATCTTTCCTGTGATTTCGTCCAGACTATAACATTTCTGTTTCAAAAACAACTTTTCTTTTAATCAATTTAAATTATCAGGAATAAAGTTGTTGGTTTCATCAGGTGAGAGCCAAACTAATCATAGCTTTAAGTAGCTCAAAACCTTTTTGATGTTCTAATTTATTGAAATGCACCTGGAAGAAAAGTCACATATAGGAGACTGAAGTGGAGAAAATCCCTTTTCATTAAACTAGTGTAGTTGATTGTAGAGTAGTTGGTCTGAATTATTTTTAGTTTATGCAGATGGTTTTTTGTTTGTTTGTTTTTTCTGGTGATGCAGGCAAGCAACAAAGAACAAGAGCTCCAGCCTAAATTATTGTTATAGATTTACAATAATTGATTCTCTTCTGAGCTGGAGAGAAGCTGAACTGGTTGTTAAAACTTTGTGTTGGAATTATAAAATCAATTATATGAGCCTTAGGATTCAGAGCATATCTAGTTCACTGAGACATTTAAAAATCTGCTTGACTGTTATGTAAGGAAGTGTGAGGAGCTGAGAGGCATCTCAAATTGATCTACTGGATCCCACATTCCTCAATCTTTATGTATTTTTTTAGGCTCAGCTAACATTTAATGTATAAAATTTGACCCAATATTTTTGGAAAGTTAAATCTTATCAAAATGCAAATATGTTATTTGTAATTGTATCTACTTTATTGAACAGATTATGTATTATTAGAGTGATGAGTGCAAATTGTGTGACTAAAATAAAGACTTAAAAGCTAAGAGACGCTGATGTGAGCATGAAAACAACTGCAGGAGTTAAAACAAAGAGGGAGATTACTTTGTTCCCTTACTTTTGTACCTTATTCTGAGGAAGATTTCTTCTGAAGGATAATGAGCAATTTATCGTTTGTTCAGGTTTTGTATTAAATTGTTAGAAGTTGGGACAAAATAAGTAACGTGCCGATTGTCAGCATGAGCAACCTGATTTGTTTCCTTTTGCATCAAGTTTACATTATGCTTGCTTGTTTTTTCAGAATTAATATAAATGCAATATTTGCTTGATTTAAATAAAAATGTTTGAAGTATATGAATTAGAAATATTCTTTTGTCAAAGGAATGCAATGTTGTGCTGCCATCTTGTGGTCAGTCTAGAACAGCAGCGGCCACGCAGAAAAACATGTTTGTACTATAGAAACTGTTCTGTCTACACAGTGTTTTTGCAGAATTGTGTGCAACAAAATAATATAATAAATATGAGAATGTTTACTCATTGGTCTATAGGTGTCGCTGTACTTAAATCTCTTCTCCATTGATGCTGAAAGTGCCCTGGAGCAAGGCAGAGACAGCTGCTGAGAAAAACATCCATTCAGAAGTAAAAGTGTTTGTCAAAGTAAATATAAAATATAGGCTACTTTTACTATTTTTTTTTATTTGCTTGGCAATAAATACATAAATTTTAACTTGTCAGATCTCTGATTTATATTCTATAGGTTTTGTAACAGGTTGCTTCAAGATACTCCGCATAAAACAATTTTTCCATGCATTTAGACATGAATGAAGAGGAAAATTAGAGGATTCTTAACACAACTTATCCAACATAAGCTGGTTCAGTGTTTTGCACCTTACAAAGGAAATCAACCATTGCTTTATGATAGTAGTGTTGTATAACAGTTGAATCAGCTCAATTGAAAGAAAGAAAAACGCATCGCAACCCATCCAGCTTTAATTTTTATTGTGTTAAAAGCTTGTGGGGAATTTATTCATCTGAGTTAACGGTAGAAAAATTTACATTCGTGTGACAACTGAATGAAATAACTGGAATAAGAAAATCAGATATTCAAAACCTTGCCAAAGGGAGAGAAAAAAACAAGCATGTCTCATACAACATCATTAGCATTAGTAAGGATGTGATTGTGGACAAATTTGAAGTAATTTTAGTTTAACTTTTTTGGAGGTGGGTTTGACAATTAGGCTAGGAGTTTAGTATTTATATCCCCGAATGTTTTTTAAAACTTGTGTTAGCAAGTCTTACAGAATGATTACTTTCCTGATTTAATGGTAACATCTGTTTTCCCAGGAATCTGTTCTTCTGGGTGTCAATTTTTACTGCTATCACTGAGTGCTTAAATTTGAAAATTATAGTAGAAAAAAAAATGCAAACCAAAATGAACAAAACAAAATCTCAAACAAGAACTTGTATCAAATATTTTCTTAGCATCTATCTCCTCAGGAATAACCCACCTCCAAACCCCCCCCCCCCCCAAAAAAATAAATGTTCCCAAGACAGCATGCTTGTCTTAATGTTCAGAGGTTTTAGTCAAATCAACTGAAATGTTCTAATTTTATACAATTAGAACATTTCTACAAATGTACAAATGCCAGAATGTACACCAGGTAGCCCACTATAAGCCTATAATAAATTAAAATAAAGGTTTTACTGGGGGAAAACAATAACTTTACAGTTTCTCAAAAAACTAATCAGTTGAAAATAAATAGCTGGAACAATTTATCAATGGAGTGATTGCAAAGCTTCACAAAGGAGCACCTGAAGTAAGAAAAGCATACAAAACCTAAATTCAAAGGATCATTCAGCATACACTGTAAAAAAAATTGGCAGCTTGTGTCAAAGGCCAAACGTTAAAGGGTTTTAAGGAGACACTGACAGAAATGGCATGTAAATACACCGAGCACACGACAAAAATGGTTGTAGATCCAACTTGAGTTAAACTTTAAATAACATTTCTGACTGAACACACTGAGGAACGGTGCAGATAATCAAGCAGAATATTTTAACGCTACAACTGGATGCAACTCCTGATAATCGACCGATCCTCAGTAGGAAAATCACCCACAAAGTTTCTTGTTGGTTGGTCACAGGCTCAAACATTCAGCTTCATACGCTTGGTATCGCATCAGCTACACAACTGTTATTGTAAACCTGGAGTAGGAAACAGGACAGGCTTGAGTTCTCAGACACAGCAGTCACAAGAAATATGACATCTATGATTCACATGGAACGTTACAGGGCGGAATAGTAAATGGGATCCTTTAGATTGATGCTAACTAAGGGGAGGAGTTCTAGTGGAAAATTTTGAACCAAAAAAGGCATGAATTATCATGCATATTAACTATCTTTATAGGTTTCATATACTGTAAAAGTACAGCTGGTAATTTAGAAATGTAAATGCATATACAGTATACATATTTAAAAGAATAAATAATTTAAATGTGTCAAGATGCCACTTTATAGCAGTTTCTGGCAGCACAAGGAGGTTATTGTGTTGTTTACTCACTAATGCCAACATATAAACCTTTTTGATTGTTAAACATTTAGCAAATATACTTACAGTTAGAAGGAAAAATTGGGTGAGACTGAATCTTTACTTTCAAAATGAGATTTTAAGACAGGACAATTTAACCGTTGTGTCTCAATGGTGGAAATTGAAGAGTTAAAAGAATTAAAAACCCAATAATGATAATTAGAAACCATAATTCCATGGTCAAACATTGAGGGCCAAACATGTTTTATCAATTGTGATGGAAGAGAGCATATAGAGTCGAGTGGACTAGGCAACCCGCAATGAACTCATATATCAAGATTTTGGCGAAAGTGGCCAAAATCGAAACCAAACATGTCAATTTTTTATACATTTCTCTAACTTTTTGTTCACCGTGTATGTTGGCAAGTAAGATTTGTCACAGTTCTAGCTATTTTCAACATTTTCTTTATTGCTCTGATTGTAGGGATGGGCAAAGTTAGGCAAGCATCTATTTTTATGAGACTCTATTTCTGACTGTATGTCAAAATACATCTTACCTAAAAAGCATTTCCTCTGGCAGGGGGAATGGGCCTCTATTATGATCTGTTTATACACACCAAAATCAGGAAGTCTTGGATTAATAATTAAAATTTCCTAAAAACATTGATCAACATAAAAAAGCATGTAATTAGCGTTTCCGATAATTAGGACAGTGGTAATTTTGTAAATTACAATTTCTCAATGCAAATTTATTCCATCCACTAAATGATTGCAAATAAAAAAAAAGAATTTGTTTGATTTTCCAATCTACTATCTCTTTCTTTGAAAGACTTTTACCAAGTTTAAAACTGAACTAAAATGACATTTTAATGCAATTTCAATTTTTGATGATTGTCCCCCAAAAATCTCTATTTCAAATTCTCACATGTTTGTGTTTTGCATTAATACTCTGTTTACTGTAGCACGGTACTCAACTTCAAAGTCTGACTAAATAATGTTTTTACTAAAATATTTTCCACTACTGCTTACACCAGTGCCAGCTAATATCAGCACAAAGGCTTCACCACATAAGACCAATACAATTTACTCCAATTACCAGAGAAAGGCAGTAACAGCCTCTAGTAGTGCTATGTATGCTAACACATACAGTAACGTTGGCACATATAGGTTTACAGTAATTCATCACTAACTGTTGCAGTTTTTCAATTTGTCTGAATTATTCAAAGTGCTTTACAGAAAACAAATATTTAAAACAAAAGTCAAGCCTAGATTAGAAAAAAATTAACATTTAACAGCACCTAAAGATTTTTTCTTAATTTTAAGTTTACAGACATGGATTGGTTTGCACAGTAAAGCAGATTTAGCCTACTGAACTGCAATCAATGCTGGAATTTGTTTCATTTTAAAATCTAAAAAAATGACTTAAACTGTAACATCATGCAGGGCAGTCTACTGTTTAACTGTAGCATTAAACCATCAGTAGTGATGGATTTCACTCTATGCGCTACCCTATAAAACAGAAAACCAGTCACACAGAACTGGTATCATTTCAGGTACATGGAAATTATTTTGGGTGTTTTGGCACATTAAGTTGAAAAAGGGTGACTATGAGGATGTGAAATGAGCAAAGAACAAAAGAAATTTGAATATTTACATACACAGAATCAGTTAATCTTTTGAAATTGCTCAGTTGCTCAGAATCTTTCTATTTAATTTTGTTCTCTTTCCATTTCATTTAAGCCTTCTCCTCTTCCAGAAAGACTTTATCTGACTCTCTCAAAATCGATAAGTACATCATTTCCCTTCTTCTACATCTTGAAGTTGTCCTGAGGCAAAAATCTCAGATCAGTGACCATTATAGTTATCTCTACTGGTCAAATGCAACTAAGACGCCTTCAACACCTCCCTGATTCTGACCAAACTTTCCCTAATTTAGAACCAGTATTGGGGTTCTCAGCGTGAATGCTTGTTTGTAAAATGGAATAAGTCCAACTTTTCTTTGTCTTTTTAACTGATCGTCCTCTTTGTGAAACCATGTACAGCAAAGCCGACTCATCCAAGGTGCCAATGGTCAAAGTTTCTTGTTTCAACTTTTTTCTTACACTCAAACTGATCCTCAATCAGTCTCAGGGCAACTTCCAACTATTTTGGCACAATTTCAGGTTGTAACTCTTACCACAGTCATTTTCTGTCCTTTCAAGACAATATTGGGAAAGTGACAGAATGTGTAGTCCAGTTGACCCTGGTGGTTTCAGTGAATAATAGGAGCCGATCGGTCATTGGACATCGTCTTCTTGAGTTTAACGCCTCGCCGGATAGTCACCAGAAAGTCCTCCATCTCGCAGTACTCCGTCTCCTCCAGGAGTTCAGGGAGAGGCCGACGTTCCCATTCAGTCAGCCGACTGCCCGGCTGAGGCGGTGGGGTTGGAGGATCTGATCCTTCGTCTGGCCGCTGGGTTCCCCAAGCGATGGACTTTGGTGACAGCGGCTCGTTGCTGCCAGGTGACAAAGGGGTGGTTGGGAGGCTTAATGGGTTCCGTGGTGTATTACCATCTTCCGCTCTGCTTGGGAAACCAGGATGTTCAGGCACAGTAGGGGTTTTCACTGGGATCATAGGGGGCTTGATAGGGATGGGACCCAAGTTCAGGCCCCAGAGGGTCGACGTAAGTTGGGTTTGGATGATGGAGTCCGTCGAATCGTAGCCACCCCAGGGGTAATGATGGCTGAGTGATTAGAAGGCAGACCGGCAGTGGAAGCTGGGCGCTTGGACTGAAACATGCGGCGGTAGGACTGACTGATGTCACTGTTCCTCGGGATGGTTGAGGACTTATCAAAGTCTGACTGATGCTCGCCCTCTTGATCAGCACCGACAGAGTAATAGTCACAGTCTGACACTGTGGAGACCAAAGAAACTGTCAAGGTAAGTTTAGCCAGGATAAATGCTTAGCTAAAGCTTTTCTTATTAATCAAAATCTTGTCGCTACTACTGCAAAAACACAAAATTTAACCATGCATTTGTCTAATTTCTAGCACATATATCTTAGCACATTTGAAATAATACAACTCTAATTTACATGTAACTGTTAAGTAAGATATAGGAGCTTGTTTTAAGTCAATAATTATTTAATATTGATGAAACAGTACTAGTTCCACAAGTAGATTATTGAACTCATAGCAAGACATTTTTATAAGTGAAATAATTTGTCAAAGAAACTACGGTAGTACTTTTTCATCAATATAAAAGAATTAATGACTAAAACTCATGTTTTATGAAAGTTTACAAGGGTAAAATTATTCCATTGGTTACTTTTGTGTCAGTCGCATGTGTGCAAGTACCTTGTGAGGGGATGGTGTCCTCTGAGCAGCAGGGTGTGTTGGTCTGGCTGCTGTAGCCACTGGAGCCCTGCAGCGAGTCCCTGCTGGAGCCGTGGATGTCCAGCTGGAGGCCTCGGGCCAGCGCCCTGGCCAGCTCCTCGTGGGCCTCCTTCTCCCCCTGGAATGGAGGCAAGAGATCATCATCAAGGTTTGCATCTTTGGCTTTTAAATTCTGTCTCTGAATGTTTTTGTTTTTTTTCTTAAACTGACTTTTGAAGACATCATAGTGTGGTTTCCTTTAAACCCCTGTTGGTCCTCTACTGGGGTGGTGACATCAGAGCCGTGGTGGTTGCTGGGATCTGTAGTATCTCTCCTGTCTTTACTCCGCCTCAGAGTGTTAACCATTGGCTGGTCGTACGGACCTGGTTTGGCCCAGTCCTGCACAAGAAGAAAAGTTCAACAACTTATTATAATTCCATTTGTAGCAAAGAAGTGGAAATGCAAATCTGTGTTAATGGGTGCAGTTAAATCTGCAGTATGTAACTTTTATATAAAAAAACATTTTTGTTAAAATCATTATGACAAGACAGTATTAGACAGATCTGTGAAAAAAAATAGTTCCTCTGCTTTCTCCCAGGGCTAACTGCAGAAATACGCCCAGCAGTCAGAAACTACCCATCAGCTATAACGGGTCTTAGAGCTGTCAATCATGAATGTGTATGCACCACTCACTGGTGTGCTACAGCTGGTTCACCGCAACATAGTTTGTCATGAACGCAAAGGCTAGTTAGCATAGCCACCAATGTCAGGTAAACAGTTTTTCTGCAATGGTAATTGGCATATTGAGGAGAGCATACATGAGCTTAATTGACAGAGCTAAGACTTTCCTACCATCTCTGATTGGTTGCTTTTGACTAGGAGTGGTTAATGTTTGCAGATGACAACAGCAGCATTGGGAAAAAGATGAGGAGCTCAATCTTCTCACAGATTATTTGTCTCATACCATACTACCACAAAATGGTGAAAGTTTTAATAGATATAGAAAGAAATACATTTTTGTAAAACTTACATACTACTGATTTTATGTTATTTTGTTTTTCATTGATTCAAGACTTTGAAGAAGAAGAAGTTTTGAGTGTGAAGCTTTGCAGCATTAAACTATCTAATCAGCAGCAGAAATAATCTAATTTCTGTTTCCAATTTATGCATCTTGAATGCCTCCACTATGAAAGAAAGGTGCAGAGATGAAAAAAGGAAAAACTGAAGGGAAAATGGATGGAAATCATGGAGGAATGCGGATCAAACCTTCCAGGATGGGACTCTGGACGATGGAATTGCTCCAATCCCTGACGGGCCGGGAGGCGAGAGCTCTCCCTTTTGACTGACACCTGAGCGAGACCACGTCCAGGTAGGTGAAACACACTGATAGGAGGGCGAGGAGATGGGGGAGGAGGTGGTGGAGGAAGAGGAGTAGGTGAAGTATGAAGGGTGGAGGTGGGTGTCCAGGCCCTGCAGGACCACTCCGTGAAGACAGAGGGCAGCGTGATGGTCAAAGCTGTTTGGCAACTGAAGGTGAACGGGTGATAGAGAGGCAGAAACACAAGTGCAAAATTAATGATGAAAACATGGCGAAGATGGAAAAACTCTATTTTGTGAAGGGGTTCTGAGTGTGGGTCAACCTCAGTAGGGTAGGTTTTTTTGTTGTTGTTGTTCTCCAAGTCTGTGCTCATTGATAACAGAATAGGTATAACCATATTCCACATGTATTTGTTCACCTGTTGATGCCCGGAGCTGGGCTCAGGATGTGAGGGGGAGGAAGAGGAAGAGGAGGACTCCTCATTGACAGACTGAGTGAACAAAGCAGAGACACACAACTGCAGGACAGGAAAGCACACCAAAAAACAAAACCAACAGTTTGCAAGATAAAGACAAGAGACACAGAAACAAATAATAGAAAAAAAACAACAACAAAGCAAAAGAAAATAAAAGCAGCAAATCTTAATGAAATCCAATGATGGGAGCGAGGAGTCGAGACAGGCTTGAAAAAGAGCCAACGCCACAAAAGTGTTATGTAAAAGAAGATGATGAAGGTCAACCATGAGTCAGAGATGTTTAGCTTTTTTTCCCCACTAAACATTAAAATTCTGTTTGTCATATTTACAAACAATAACACAAAGCTGAACCATTTAGATTTTAATTGCATGCTGTACATGTCACTGGAAATGCAAAAGTTATTGCTGTATGCGAAATGGAAGCATCTTTCCTTCAGTAGAAGACTTTTGTATTACCTCAGTTCATAAAATTATGAAAAAAGTCAGGCTGAGGTCAAACTAAGACTCGTTAGTTGAGGTTAGAATAAAACATTGAGCACGGGATTGGAGTAGCACGTCTTTTGATAGAGAGATGCATAGAAATTCTCCAAACGGGTGTTCAGGCGCATTTCAGAGCTGGGAACCAACCAGCAACCGTTACCTGCAAGTTGTCTGGAGGCATCGGTGAAGGGGATTTCGACTGGTAGGCATCCTGGGAAATGAAACCAGAGTCATGGGAGGAGACCGAAGAGAGACGGGCCGGCGTCTGCTGGGGCAGCACTGAGGAGGATGAGGAGGATGAGGCACGGTAACGAAAGTGGGAGGTGGGGGAGTGGCAGTGTGAGCCGCTGGAGCGAGAGTCGCTGCTGTTCACGCTGTTCAGGCTGCTGTGTGACGAAGGTAGAAGGAATGTTAGATGGCCCAACTCATTAAAAGGGAAAGTATGTTTGGGGAAAACTCTTGTTTGCTTAGGATTTTTGTGGAGATGATATATTGCCTTTATTCATTCAAAGTCCTACGACTTTGGAACATAAATGAAACCCCAACACTGTGCATATAGATGGAACAATTTATGATTCATTTAGAGATTCTTTAAGTTTAAGAACTTAAAAGCAGCAACAGCTGAATCCACATTTGTAACCAGAGCAGATTCACAGTGAGTAAAGCAAGACCACAATCAGTTTTACACGACCAATATATCTGGATCGACACCAAAACCAGAGATAAGTTTGTACTGAGTCCAAAAGACAAGTTTAACCTCAGAAGCATAAAGACAAGAGCATATTTTTTAAAATGTTCACAAAACCTATTGAAAAACTAAAACAATTGGGCTTTTCAGGAAAAAAAAGAGGCAAAAATTCAATGCAATATCCACAAGGTGGCAGTAGGGAATTGATTCTCAGGTCACCAAGTTTGGTTTCTCAGATAATGAACAGTTTGGTATTTGTCTGCTGGCTGAACCAAACAGGTTAAGCGATCCAAAACACTTAAAGCCCCAAGTCTTAACCCATAGAAAGATCCAACAAAGACTCCCAGAAGGGCTGTAATTATTATTTTTTAAATACTCAGAGATGAGACATTAAAAATGTGAAGCGTAAAATAGACATAAACAACAATAGAGAAAATAAAGAGCAGATAAAAAAGATGTCTAAAATATATCCTATGAGGAAATACAAAATAAACAGAAGCAGAGAAAAAGCATTTCCCTAAATTAACAATTAAATAAAAAAAAATATAATAAAATGAGACACAAAATCCACAATTGGGTGGAAAAAAAACCCCAACAAAATATTGCAAATATTCCCTAATTGGTCCGAATGGTCTTCTGAAGCTCTAAAAATGCAGCTAATGATGAAGAAACAAAGGATTCAGTTTGTGATTGATTGATGTTCTTCTTGAAACCTTCCTGGTTTTCTGGTTTTATAAAAATGTTAAGTGCAGGGCTATGCTGTCAAACACACCTGCACATACTGGACTTCCTGGATACGGTGGTGCTTGGAGAGGAGGGAGGAGTTTGGTAAGACCAGGTGCACTCCGAGCCCTTCAGATCTACAATTACCTGCAGTAACAGGGAAAAGAAAACAGTCTTTAAAGAAAGGAGGATTAAGGAAACTTTGTGGAGAAGGAGATGATATGGCAGATAATACTCTTATTATATACCGTTTATTAGCATAATATGAAACTTTAAGCAAGACAATAAACAACACATTGCAAAATTTGCATTAATCTGTGGATGGCAGAAAGAAAACAACATTAATGCAGAGCTCCAACATGTTTCATGTAAATATTCCAGTTTTTTTCATATTAAACTCTCCAGTCTGTTACACCAATTTAAAATGTTGAAATACCAAGATTTACTGAGACGTTATAGTAGGTATTGAAAGAAAGGAAGAAGGAAAGAGAAACAAACAAAAGAAAAATGATAAAATGAATAAAGAAACAGAGAAATAGTGAAAGAAATAAAAAAACAGAGGGAAAGGAAAGAAGGAAATAAAGACATGAGATAAATTGCTCTCAACTACAAACAAAATAGGAATTATATGCTATATTTTTAATATAGCTAAAAAAATCCCTTGCTTAATATGTAATTTAACCTTCTCATAATTATGCAGCATGATATGTTTAGGTTGACTGCTGGTTTCTAATGTGAAGAAACATTAAGGATTCATCTGATGAAGGTAATTAACGATGTTAATTACAATGGAATAATGTTTTTTTTTTCTCTTATGCAGAAATATATGTGCACAGGTTTAATTATTTCTACTGGAAGATTTTCTTTTTGCAAAGTGTAGTAATCGTAAAAGATAGAAGTTATTCTTTAAAAATAAGCTTTTCACATAGATTTGATCATTTGATGAACTGATTTATCCATTGCTGGCAGAAACTGTGTCAGAGTAAGTGGAGGCTGACCATCTGCTTGTTGGCTTCCAGCTCTGTCAAACAGGTTTTGGCTCCTTAAAGGACGCACATATTCCCACTTTTCAGTCAATGAACAATTATCCAGAGCCAAAACGTAGTGGTCCAGTTGGACCTGTACCTCAGCCAATCGTCCAGAACTCCACTAAACTGCAACGTCTCACATAAAATAAAAACATTTGGTAAGCTGGACTGAAAAAAAGAAGAATCAACTAATGATATTTTCTGAATCACTGATCAGTTTTCTACATTATTTTCATCCCAGTTGCTTAGTTAAAGGTTTAAAATAGGATGCTTGATTGTGTAGAGCAAATATTAATTAGATTAAAACTGCATTAGAGGAAAGAAATATTAGGAGCTTGGAGCTTCATGGAGAGAAAGAGAAGCGAATAATATAAACAATGAAATGATGAGAAGGTTTTTGTCTCTGACAATCAATCTTTGTTCATACAGGAAGTTTGAGAAATAACTGATTGTGTATTAGCATATACGGCAAAGCAGAATCTTGTCAAACACTAGTACCTGCTCACTGGAGGCAGGCAGCTTGTGTGGGTCCATGGTCAGGATCTTCAAATCATCTGTGAGAGTCTGGAGGTGGGTGATCTCCCCCAGCATGGACATCTCCTCATCCTGACATGCAAACACATCAGATCAGAGCACTCCAAAGTCTGCACAACTAAATAACTGAAAACTAAAGTCAATCATTTTGGAAATGAGCGTTTAGTGTAACCATTATGTAGAATCTGATTATTTTAGCGACCTTAAAAGAAATATTACTGCGACTGATGTGTAAACTCTAATCTTTCTTCAAACAATTTCACATCAAACCATTTTTTTTGAAAGAATAAACATTTTTGAACGCATCACTGACCACGACTGGCCGCAGCATGGAGACAAAAATGCAGAAACGACTTCTTTCCTCCACTAACGCCCTTCGCACCGCCTGCTTCTCCGTCTCCTCCAGCAGCAGGTACTTATCGCTGACATCCTGCATGGCGCTGTCCAGCTGGGGCTGAAGGTCTCCGCGACCTAAACACACAGGTTTGGGTAGACACAGCTATAATACATCATGCCGCAGAAGAAAAGCGAAAACATACTCAAACAGGCTGTCGTCTTGCATATTAATTACCCTACGGCTTTTTTTTATTACATTTTGTCAAGTTTTAATCTGAATTTTAATAGGATTTTATATTCTACACCAAATAATCCAGAAATATAAAAATCAGAAAAAAGAAGCTAAGATGGCAGTCAAACAAAGATCTCAATTTTGGATCGAATTCTCTGTGTAGCGAAATTTTATCACACTGATGTCATCATAATTAAGATGAGGATTTAATGGGTAGGAGAAACAAAGAGGAAATAAAGAGGAGGCGGACAGTTTCAGGCAAACCACATCCAGTTTATCATCCAGCTGTGGGATCCAGTTTCACCGTTCAGAACTTCTGCACAGACCTCTGTTCTCACACTACAGAGATCTGTGCAGACCTCTGTAGTGCGAGTCTCTTCACAACAATAAGAGACTCCCACTAACCAGTAAACCACATCACAGATTCAAACAGCCAATCAGATGAGCTGGGAAACAAACAACTGCTGGAATCCAATTAAAACACGTTATTAGAGGACTGCTAATAATCTCTGCAGTTTTGATGAAGAAAAGGAAACATATGGAATTGCTCTACTGCTTTTGGAAAACATCTGGCTTGATATGTTATGTGAAGCATGCAGCCAAACCAGATTCATTTGTAAAGGGACAGAGTGTAATGTTCTACAGAAGACCTGATCAGATTTATCTGCATGCTCAGACTTTACTCTACCAGCTACTGTAACAGGATATGTGCCATCATGGAAGCATCCCCTTTAGGTGCAGAAGATTATTAATTTTAGAGAGTCTGTCAGTTATGTTGTCCTCACAATCCCCTCTGATAGCAGCATATTTCTGATCCTGCTCAACACTACATTCAGTTTATTCTCATGTTTACTTTCAAACCACAAGCTTACACTAGACGATCTCCATGTGTTTGGTTGTGTCCCAGCTCTTAAAAAAGAAGAAAAAAAAACTGGTTTAAAGTGACAGTTTGAAGAAGTAGTCATAAATGGGATTTATTCTAAATGAGTGTTAATTTACAGAGAAATTAGCTTTGGTATGAATGTTTCATTAGTCTTTTACTCGTGTCTTTATTTTAAGGCATGGAAGTGGTTACCAGTATCAAAATATATCTAGCTCTAAAAAGCTTGAGATGTTTCACTCATATTGTTCCTTCAGCTCAAAGTTCTTTTAATGAGATTCCAGAAACAGTGCCAAAGAGACCAAAGTTTTCTCCAGCATCTAATAGCATAAAGTATTTTTACATAGCCCTGTCTCCACCTTTTGCTGAAAAAAAAGGTTTTATGCATATTCTCACTTACAAGAAAGACAAACTCAGATGTTTGGAAACAGATGGGCAGCAACATCATGCAAAATAAAAGAGTCTATCATCTATTAAATAAATTAAATGTGTTCCCTTATTTCTGTAGTAATACCAATCACGATTGCATAACACTTAAATCAAGTTATATATTTTCATTTTTGTGCAAATACAGTTGCCTCATATGTTGAACTGTCTAAAAAGTCTTTTCAGGGGTGCAAATGTAAAGTAAGGAAGCATATTTTCGTGAATTAATTATTCCATGTGTCATATGTGAATTAAAAGTGTGGTTATAAAATGAAAGCAAACATGTTAATTTTTTTTGGAGGGGGGGTATGACCAATCCTTTTCAACTTTTTTCTTTATTTAATGATTGCCAGACCATTTTGGGATGAGAGTTTAGGGCTCTATGAATGCCCCCAATTGATCAAATGATTAGCTGAATTACTCAGAAGATGGTTTTAAGGCAGCAGGAATGTAACTTAAAGTCAACTATCCTTTGAACAATAATCATCTCTCACAATGAAGAATGGCTCTTTTGCTTTCAGTCTACCAGGGGTTTGTTAACTATAAAGCACGACAAAGTGTGAAATGTTTGTCACAATGAACTAGAGCTCAAGTTGCATAAAGTTGCCAGCAGATCCCATTTAGCCCACTAATTTTATTATTCCCTGCAGCTTTTGTTTGTTTCTTGCACCAGAAAGGCTTTACTTTTTTCTCCTTTAAGATTCTCGCTTAGAAATCCAGCCGTCTGTGTTTGATGGCAGACATAAACATGTAATTAAAGTTCTTCATTCCTCCAGCGAGGTCCAAAGCCAGCTTTTGTGGCGAGGCTGTCTGATAGGAGCAACGTCTGTCTCCTTCCAACTAAACTTTTCCAAGCAGATGCTTCAGTGATAAACAGAAAAAGCCTCGCTTTCAAGGGACGGAAATGTTTTTTCCATGGTTTCATTTGTTTACTTCATTTCATCCCTCTTTCTTTCATTTTCTCCTCTATCCATTCTTCCTTTTTGTGTTGTTCATTACAATTCAGCCAAGATTAAGCCCAGTTAATCCATTTGAGAAAGCAGTTGCTCAAATTTCAGCTCATTTTCAGTTTAGTGTGGTGTTCATGGAGGTGGGTTTGAGAATGTCTCATAAAGGGACACATCGCAGGGCGTAGACCTACCGAGAAAACCTTCAGGACTCATTACAGCCTTCTTTATTTCTGTTTTTGTCACACTATCATGTATTTTTAAATTTCACAAAGATAGTTTGAGTAAATAAAAAATACCAATTATAAATTATGATTTCATTTGCAAAAGTAATGAGATATTCATGCCAACCCAACCCTTTAAGAAAACTTCCCCTTAAGCATCAACATGCCTCACTTGTTCCAGATAAGATCAGAGTTCATGACTCAACAGTAAAAGAGACACTGGGCAAACACAGCATTCACAGGAGATACTTTTTCACAACACTGTAAACAATTAAATTTTCTGTAAATGAGCAATTAATCTTTCAGAACAGAATTTAGACAATCTTTGATATTTGTGTATTTGCTTTCTTACATAACATTCGCCCAATTCTATCAGCTGTCTCTCCTCCCATTTTTCTTCTTTGAAACTCTCTCTACTCTTGACATTCAAAGCCACAGCAAAGGGAGTTTCCTCTTGTGCACCAATAATAGCCTGGGAGCGCCAGAGGATCGAAGCGACTTGACCACATCTGAGGGTCCTCTGGGGTCAACCTAAGGTCCTGTTTATTTTCTTCCTAAGGCTCACTTTAAACAAGTCTTGCATAGATCTTTTCCTAAATCCTTTATCTTATCAATACCATGGCTTTGTTTGATGGATTATTGGGGAAGTTTAAGAGTTTTCAGAAATTGTTGACCTTACAGAGCCTTCACATTACAAGGTATCAATATATGAGGTTTTCAAGATACTGAGTATCTGCTCAGGTAAAATTTCACTAATCCCAAGTCTTCAAATGACCAATGAAAAGAGCAGTTGAGAAGTATCCGAATGCACAGACCATTAATTGTCATTGTTGCCATAATGAAAGCTGCAGAAATATCCAATGAGATGAGATCAAAGAATTGAGCTTACCGGTTATTTAATGGAAAAAATTTAATAAAATCAAGCAACTAAAATATTACTTGTGACTCAGACCAATAAACTGATATTTCTCAGCTTGACAACAGATGAGAAAAAGATTTTAAAGTGGAGAAATAAAGGCAAACTTTTATGCACTACAAACAAAAGCTTTGATGTATTTAGTATGAATTCAAGTATATCCTGCAGCAGCTGCTGTTGTTGAACTCCATCAGTATAATGATTTATTTAATAGCACGTCTTTGTCAGCTCTGTCGTGTTTTCAAAGTGGTTACTGTGTGGAATGTTTTCTGCTAGGATCTGCTGCCCTTCTATGTTTCTATGTGTTCGTGTCATTCACTCTTATGGAAATCATGGCAAGTTTTAATTAAGAAGCAATAAAAATGTTTTTCAGTAAAGAATCTTGTTTAGCATGAAACTGGGCTTTGTTGTGTTCGGGGCCTCAGCTTTCGTGAGTCACAAACATTTCAACAGCACGAGAACATTTTTTTGTTTTTTTTAATCCCCCGTTAACAAATGTGGTCTGAGGAGATTTTTAAAACCAAGACATCAATGTGTTTGTTATTTTACATCTCATATTATGACTGTTGATGTATTTACAATCTTTCACATTCTCTTTGCAAAATACCATAATGATATGTTCCAAATAAACCCCTGGTTGTAAAACTGAGATGAGCTACTGAGCTCTACAAACAAAACTAAAAGAAGATGAGGTATTATAAAAATAAAGAGTCTGTCTTTTTTTTAACTGCACAACCTGGAAGAGTTTAACAAGATAAAAAAGAAAGATTACAAAATATTAACTTACCGAAAAAATCAGCTATATAAAGTTGATCATGTTGGACGAGGGGAAGAGCAGGGAGGGAAGACAACAAATAATGTTAGATTGTTACATAATGTCAGACTTTAACATGTTATTAACTGATATTTTCCTCATCATTTCACTAAATAAAATATTGCCAGACATGATTGGTCAGTGTCAAGGAACACCAAGGTTGTAAGTGGAAAAGGTTTCAAAAATTTCAAAACTTTTTTGTTCTTTGTTTTCAGTTTCCTTTCATGAGATTTCAGATAAAGTACCAGAGAAAGTAGAGCTACACCCAGCTGGACAGAGTAACACAGTATTCTATACCCTCTCATGTAATTGGTGCTATGTAGATAAACTGGACTGACCTTTCTTTGCTTTCTTCTGCAGCTTCAAAGTGTCTGATGATCTCTTTTTGATCTCCTGACGGGCTTTTTTATACTCTGTCAAGTGACAGTTGCACAAAGAAAAAAGTGGAAAACATACCCAGTGTCTGATTCTTAGTGTTTCATACTAACTAATTCAGAGGAATACAAGCAAGAGTGTGCTTATGAAAACCTTTGGCATGGTCTTTGTCCAGAGTATTGGCCACTCTCTTCCACTCCTCCATCTGCTCCTGGAGAGGGTTAATCAGGCAGTCCAGAAACACCCTGGAAACACCAACACCCTGTTGAAGCTGACAGCGATCCACAACAAAACACTCCGGAACAAGATTTATTTTACATTTGTGCCATGAAAGAGTTAAAGGTATAGAGTTAGTCCATTGAAAAATCAGTTTTATGGAAAATGTGAGTGCAAATTTTAAAGGCTACCAAGGAGGATCAGAACATCTGAGTCAGTAGATGTTGGAATTACAATACAAGTATTTTAAATTGTTATGTTAAAGAAATAATCGCAGCTCCTGCTAAACTCTCTTTGCTAGAGTGAAATTTAACCTATTTCTCAAAGTACCTTTTTGGTCCTAGAAGTGAATATTTTCTAAAATATCTTCACCCTCTTTGGGGTTTATCCTTACTTGGACAATGCGTTTGTTTTCTTTTGTCCTGGTAAAATCTATAATTTCATCTTATGGAAACCTCAGGATCAGCAGAGAAGCTGAAGGTCAGCCCATGTGGTATGTAAATGTTTTGCCCATTTCAACCTGACTGACTCTCATTCTGAACTGTGGGACATAATGGATGATAACAGGGCCCAGCCATCACACATTTTTGAGGAGAAATTTATTCAGGAAAAGCAGGAGAAAGACTAAGATGAGTTACCATTATGCAAAGTAAAAAATAAATAAATATTTTTTTGTACGTTTCATTAGAAAGACTGTGAAGAAGATGGTACCCATTTATCTCACACTCGTATCTACTCACATGGAAAACTGACGGAGCTTGGCCTCAATGCTGCGATGCCTCATGCACATCCTGGTGAGCGCTGAACCGATATCCCTGGTCCCTCCTGACAACAAAAACAAACAGTCTGTCAGCTTTAAAAACCTGCAATAACTAATCAATTGTTTGCAAATAAAAACTACACAGACAAAAAAAGATATTGTGTTGCAGAGCAAAATGAGCATCAGATATACAAACCATTATTGTGCTGTGCTATATTTTCACATAAATATTGTATTGCATTTAAGCATTTGTGCATAAATCTAACTTCATTTATGCCCCGATTTAGGTTTTCATTAGCTGTGACCCCTTGTCAAAATAAACAAAAGTAAATATTAGAAAAATATCCATCTGCTTGGAATGGATCTACAGTGTAGAGGATTTTACTTCCCAATGTAAGTTGATGTAATAAGATAATTTAGTTGATGCAGGCCTGTATATATATCTTTATACTGGTTTGGGGTTACTTTCCTTTTGCATATGTCAGAAAGTTAAGCAGTAAGACAGGAAATACATCAATAAATCCCATATTTTGCAAAACCGTGCATGATTCCCATTAATTCCAGTTTATGGAGATGATTTTATAATGATACAGCCAGATGGAAACCACAACTTGAAACATTCAAAATAAAGAATTGTTAATGATAAACCAAAGTTGTATTGCATGGCTATTAAGAAATTTTTGCACTCTGCATAATGTAAAACTAACCACAGGTCTGCAATTCTTAATATCTTAAACACTGCTAAAGCTGTTCCATAAAGAGTCAGGTAACAATATCCAACATCATTCCATGTTAAACCTCTGGATTTGAAAGCAGCTTACACAGAAAACTTCAAACAAGTTTGAAGAGAAGTTTCAAGTTTTCACACAGAAAATGTTGTCTGTTTTTTGGTATTAACGTACTTGGCAGGTTACTTGTTCCACAGATCTCTGAAAAAACAATCACAGTTCTGCGGATTAAGTTCATCTCACTGCGGTCTCTCCCTCCATGTAGTCCCACACTGAGCCCGGGAGTCTGAGAGCAGGACTCAATGTTTGGGGCAGGCCATCTGCTGCAGAACACTTTGCTCATTTCTCCTGTTTTCTGAATTATAATCCCTCCAGCTTGCATGACTCTCACTTAGAGATAATGTAGATTTCATGTTAAGTTATTTGGGTGTCTCTCCTGATGCCTTGAGATCTTTGTAACAAAAAATCTCAAAGATTTTTTTTTTTTTAAATCAGCTCTCGTCACCTTGAGTCATTGAGTTTTAAAAGGCAACACGGATTGATAAAATTATTAATAATACAAAAGTAAATCAAAGCATCCAACAAGGTGTAAAGATTTTGTTGAAGGACACTCCAGCAGGGTGGCGATGGATGGCGTCTAAACTGATTCTCAGTGCAGCAGAAGCTCCACAGGCACCTGAAAGGGCCCAGATGGCCGTCCTCTCTCTCCCCCTGACAGGACGCTCCCTCCTGGGGAAAGGGTCGCTCTGTCTCTGCTTGACAGACTAGAGATCCAACAAAAACACTTCAGCAATTACCAACAAGATGCGTGCATTGCTACACACTTGAGAAGGATTTTACATGCTCACCTCCTTGTTATCTAAACTCAGCTGTTTATCTTAAATGATCATTAGCCAGAATTCATTTAATCAGAAGCCCGAGTCTTATCAAGACACATGCTCAAAGTTGCTCAGTTGTGAACAAACCCGTGTTGTGTAGGGCGTGGTGATGAACACTGCAATGCACCAGTGACTCCTTTTCTCTTTCCTCTGCTCTTCCCTTCTTTCCTCACATCTTCCTCTTCCTCCCTCTAACACTTCTCTGTCACACCCAGTCTGACTCTCATTTTCTCTTCAGGACCTCTGCCTGTCTTATTACTGCCTGTCACTGAGCAGACTGTGTTAAAATATAGTTATGCTGTCAGCATGGATGACCAACATCTGAGATTTTTATAGTTCCAATGGAACTGATGGATGCAGCACTAAAAACCTTGTTGGTTTAAAAATGTTCACCTGACATCTGGTTAGCTAAATCAGACTCGACGTCAGTGAAGATTTATCAGCTTCCATTAAACTGAAACCAAGTATAACAGCTGATGTCCTGAAAGCCGTTACAATGAGAGAGACTTGAGCCAAAGCGATCACTGTCTGTAGAGTCACTGGAAAACCAAAGTAGACCCTTGCTACGAACCAATCAGCAGCAGTTATGACCATCTCTACAAACAAAGGAGCTATTGCTGCCAATCAACTTGGAAAGCCTTTGTTAGAATGTTTAAAAATTATTTAAGGGCTACAATTTTACAGACATTGTTTAGCAGAGGAAAAGATTCAAGAGAGATTGTAAATCTTCCAAGCAGAAAAAAGAAACGTACTCAAAAAGGCGTCAGTTCGCTATCAGACAAATAAACAGCTTGACTGAAGGGTTACCAATAGAAAGAGTCTAGAAGGATCATCTCAATAAGACAAGACTTATTTGGAGAAAACTAGACACCACCCTCATTGCCTCTGGCCAACAGCCAGAGGCAATGAGGGTGGATGGGTGATGATAGGGGGTCTATCTCACATTTAGGTCCAGAATATGGACTATGTGACGATATTATCACCCGTATTCTGGACTCAAATGTGAGACCATGTTCTCAGCTGGAGACTTACCGAGACAGAACTAAATCTACAACCAGGCCTGATCCAGATTGAGATCCTTTAACTGGACCACTAGAGAGCTATACAGAAACAAGCCTCCAAGCTATACAAGTTATTATTAAACAATAACTTAAATAACTTGAATAGCTATTCAAGTTATTGTTGTTAAACATTGTTTTTCCTTCCATTTCTAAAGATTTTGGCATAGTAAGAACTCATTTTGTTTTTACCATTTCAAAAATCTCTTCTGATATCTGCTGAACATGTAGAACTCCACCTGTATTTATTTTTAGTGCATTTTATTGACTTGCATGGCAAATTTAGATATGCTATAACCTGCTATTAAAAGATTTGAGTCTTCCAGAAAAAGTTCAGAATTTTAGCTTTGGTTTTTGCTGTATTTTGTTGCTCTCTCAATGGGCCTCCCACTGAAAAAACTGAAAGCATGAATGCCCAGCACTACTTTTTACAGCCTGAGGGAGAGTTTTCAAACCCCAGGATGTGTGCATCATACGGTCTATCAGTTGTCCATGCACATTTCTAGCCACTTTAGGTATACAGCCAACACTTTTTAGCCATTTTCCCTGTTCCTGCTTGTCCTCCTTCACACAATCTCTCCCCTCATTCCTCTTCACACATCATCTGCCACTTTTCCCAACATTTTCCCTTATCCCAGATCCTGCTGTATCCTCCGTTTGCTCAGTGCTGCACTTCATCTTTTCCCCTGCCAGCTCTCTTCTCACCTCCAGACGAGGTGTTACCTCCTTTCTTCTCACCCGTCTCCTCTCAGGCTAAATTCCCGTCAGTAAAATTTGGCAGTTGTAAGTTTTACCAAGTCACTGCATCTTCAGTGTGACTTTACCTTTTAGATTTGTTATTCTCCCAGGAGAAGATCTTGTAAGCTGAATTTCAGGTCGAAAGAGCTGGTTTTGGATGGTCTGTATGACATGGGATGTTAACTCCAAGGATCGACGCGTTACGAGTGACCGTAGCAGTGAATGTAAAATGTTTTAACAGATGAGCAGGATTTATTCTCTTGGTCTCGGTGTTGGCTTGGGCATGTTTCCACACAAACTGAATTCTCCACATTTCTTCACCTCGTATTACTGTGGATCCCACAGTCTTTGAGACCACAGCCTTCCAACCACCTATCATTAGGTCTGTACAACTGCTGTAGCTTCTTCAATATTTTTAGAAAACGTGACGATATTAGGTGTTAAGAGCCACATTTATGCTTAGAAGCTATTGATTTCTTATTTAGCTTTGCCTTATTTTTTAAAGAGGAGCTTTAGTAGTCGTAAAGAACATAATACATATGAAGAAGATCTTCCATACCTTATAACATTTGAGAGTCACAGCTCCATGTATTTTTTATTCAGCATAAACCAAAGTGGAGGAAACAGAAGGTGGTCTTTTCTGTGCGATGGAATTGCATTTTTGCCATAAAGTTGCTTCTACAGCTTTCCACAAAACTGTAATCTAAAAAAAAACTATACTTCAACTCTTCAAACATTAAGCTCAAGGAAACCTAATTCGTGCCAACTTCCAGCAAATAAGTTTGTGGCCAAGTGAAACTGCCTGACCCAACACTGGACCTCTCAAGCGAGTGTGTCTGCATGTTGAGAAAACCCCCGTCTGACCCAATTCAGTGGGATAGAGCGGCGTTCCTTTCTGACCTGCAGGCACAGATTGCTCTCATCTTTGCTGTATCTGCAGAAATGTCGGATGGGAGGCTCTGCAGCAGCTCGTCTGCACGCGAGATCAAACCGGGTCGCTTTCGAATCGTCCAAAGAAACTCAGGTTGTGACAGGTCAAAAGAGATGAGTGTTTAGAAAAGAAACGAGGTGTGAAGAAGAGACCAAACGAGGTGCAGTTTCACTCAATTATTCAGCAAACAAAGCTGACACCAAGCAAGTTATACTAAAGTTAAAAAAATTCACCTTAACAACTTGTGTTTTAAAGGTTTAGTTACTTATTATAGTACTAAATATGGCCTAATGGTTTTTCGCCATAAATTAGCACATTATAAGTTGGAGAATTGGGACACTACTGAGTAATTACCTGATTAAGGCAAGAAGATCTGATGCAAGATTACAAAACATTACAGTCTGTAGGAGAAGTCTGTGGAATAGAAGCTCATTTTCCCTCATAAATATTCTATTTTTATTTCCATCCATAAAGTTGCGGCTAGTTTATGTCAGTGTTAATCAACCGTTCAAAAGGAAACATTACAAACCACCAGTAGGTGGATTTTCCAGTGAGTGCTATAAAGTTGGAATAATTTGTAATCAATCTGGAACAAATTCCCAAAGTCATTTTTTGAGGGTTTTGGTAAGTTTAGCTTCTTAAAATATATATTGTCAAACAGCTAATGCGGTGTTTGACTGGAACTAAAAATGAAATTTTAGTTCTGATGCATTTAATGTATGAATGAATCAC